ATCGGCATTGTCAGGTGCCATTCCTAGAGGTCCCCAACACTGCCTGGGTGGCCGGGAAATCCCCAGCACTGCCAGATTCCAAGCGGCACAGCCTCCTCAGAGTCCTGCATTGAACTCCTGACTAGGCAGTCAAAGAATGAAGACCCAGCGTCCCAAAGAAGCCAAAGAAAGAAGCTAAAGGAAAAAAAGAAGCTAAAGAAAGAAAAGAATTTTCCCCACAACAGTGAGGAAAATTAGCGAGAAATCTATCAGGAGCTAAAAAAAAAAAAATTCTTCATTGTGCATTGTTCACAAAATATTCCAAAAATGAATTCAACATGATCAGGGTTGGCTTTTCTCAATTTCTAGAAGGTCATGAAATGTTGTTACGGTCTCCTCTTCACTGCACACGTTGGGCTCAGTCTAAAGAGAGGTGCTAGCATGCAGAATATGAATGGGCATACAGGAGAAGGTCTTATTTTCATTTATCAACTTTTGCAGGAGAGGGAGAGGCATAATAATAAATCTATGTTATCTGCAAAACTAAATCATCACATACGACACTCTAGTTTGATATTCATTCTTGGTTGTAAAAAACCCTAGGTTTGTATTCATGTCCCCAAAAACCCAGAACAGACAACCACAGATTTCTAAGAGACCCAAAGTAAAGGTCAAAATAAGATCAGAAGAGGTGTGATCCACATATTCAATACTCCATTCAAACTGGAACAATATTAACTAAAATATTAAGTCAATATTGATTATACTTCACCAATGAAAAGGTTAAAGTAAAGTAGCAGAACCCATCCTCATGAACAGTTAAAAAGTCCATAATCATGCAAAAAACAATAGCACTCTTACATAGAGAACATGGAACAGTTATAGTTACTGAGTTGTACAAGAAAAAATGGGTTAGTCCTGTAATCTCATCAACGGCCAAGATCCAGAGACTATAAAATAAAGCTCCCGGAAGGAGTTTGGTTTTAACATACTTGCTCGTATTCCTGTATATACGGGCTTAAATGGCCCCAGAATGAAATAAAAAACGTTCACACACTTCCCTCTTATTGTGGTGGGAAGATGCTTGCTGGTTGAGTGGGTGTTTGAATATTATATGTAATGAACTATTGTGAACTACTTTGTGAAAATAAAATGTATAAAAATAGTAATAAAAAGAAAAAATGGGTCAGTCATTCTCAAATGAGATTAACTCAGCCAGTAAGGTCTTTAACAACTAGATAGACCCTGGGGAAAAGACAGTGCAAGCATATAAAGATGATTCACACTCATGTATTCATGGATACAGATACATAAAGAAATTTTACGACGGGCTGAAACAGCCACATTCACGTTCTTCTGATGACAGAAAGGTTAACATCTTTATACTACTGAGAGCATTCATTATGTTTTCTAGAATAGACATAACTGAATTTATGTACCTACAGGTGTTTTTTTGCATATGTAAAATTACAACAAAAAACATAGAAACACTTATAATCCATTAATGGAATTTCCAAAATGTAAAAATAAGTGTAGAATCCTCCCCAAAATCTTAGTTACACATTGTTTTTGCCTGTCCAGTGCCTGGTATAGACTTGGGACTGTAAGTATCTATGAAGGAATACAAAACTGGAGATTGCAATAATACCTTTTCTCAGATTACTGAAAGGGGTGACATTCCACAATAAAGACATGGCAGGCAGGGATATGTACCACACTGTGTTGGACAGCAAAGCAGAAAGTTACCAAAACAGAAGACAATGAAAAGGGCAATTTATTTTAAAAATCAGGGGTATATCTAGTCTTGATTATTCAGAAAGAAAACTTAGAAATGAGTTGACTAGATGTTACAACTCGTTCAGACAAGTGGCATCACGTCACTGAAATCTTGCAATTGAGTGCATTTTTTCAAAATCAAATGGTCTACACACACAAGTACTAAACATGCAAATAACCCAAATACAATCAACTAAAAATTCTGGCTTAATCCAACATGTTTGGCATCCAGTGAGCAGCCTACAGAAAGCCAGTTCTAAAAACCAATGAATGTCACATTTGGAGAAATGACTTTAAAAGATAAAAAATAGAAACAGAGGCTGTTTTCAAGGCTCTGTTCTGCAAATTGGTCACTGAAGGACACCAAAATAAAATGAGCAGATGGCTCTAAAATACTTTTTAAAAATACATGCATATGTAGTCATACATATATGGAGCAGCCAGCACATATATTAGGACAGAAGGAAGACAGAAACTCAGCTAAACTAAGACATGACAAGGAAAACTGTAAGACAAAACCATTTCAAAACTTCCAAGACTGAAACAAGCAATACCCGGAGATAAAGGCTCTAGACCTGTTTAAAAGAACTCAGAGAGTGGGGCTGAAGCAATAGCACAGCGGGTTGGGCATTTGGCCTTGCACGCGGCTGACCTGGGTTCGATTCCCAGCATCCCATATGGTCTCCTGAGTGAGGAGCCAGGAGTAACCCCTGTGCATCGCCAGGTGTGACCCAAAGAGAAAAAAAAAAAAGAACTAAGAAACAACGGCATGTAGGAAATTCGGAGCATGACGAGAACAAAAAGAGAGACTGGAGAGCAAGCACTCCTACTCTGCAAAGTTGAGATTGTTTGTTGTTTTGTTTTGGTTTTTTTTGTTTGGTGGCCATCCCTGGGTCTACACCTGGTGGTGCTCAGGGACCCATAAGGAAGGCAGGGATCGAACCTGGGTTGCCCATTTGCAAGGCAAATGCCACACCCAATGTACTATGGCTCCAACCCCATAAAGCTGAATTTATAGGACATTTTTGTTTAAAAAATGAAAAACAGAAGTCGGAGCAATAGTAGAGTGAGTAGGATGCTTGCCTTGAACGTGGCCAACCAGAGTTCTATACCCAGCAACCCATGTGTTTCCCCAAGCACAGCCAGGAGTGATTCCTGAGCATGCAGAACCAGAAGTAACCCTTAACATAGCCAGGTATAACCCAGAAAGTCAAAAAAAAAAAAAAAAAAGAGGAGGGGGGATCCATAAATTTTTAAATTAGAAACACACACAAACACACATATGCAAGACATATATAAGAATACATACACTCTCATACCTAGGAGTACATTTGAAAATGCCCAATAGTAGTCTCAGACTGAAAGCCCAGGGAAATGGTAAAAATCTACCATTTCTCCCTTCAGCTTCTGTTCTCTTTTAGGAAATCCAGACTCAAAGTACAGATGATGATTAAAGACTGTGGAATCAAAAAGCCTTTGCCGGAGAACTAAAGGGGCGAAGGATTCTGCAAACTGAACAAATGCAGATACCATGAATTTTCACTTTGGTCCCCAAGGCTACGGCAAACCCCAAAAGATTAAAACATGTAAAGGAGGGATCCGGAGGTATAGCACAGCGGGTAGGGAGTTTTCCTGGCACAACCCCGCTTCGATCCGCAGCATCCCACGTTGTCCATCAAGCACCGCCAGAACTAATTCCTGAGTGCAGACCCCGAGAGTAAGCCCCGAACATTGCTGGGTGACCCCAAAAGCAAAATACATAAATAAATGTAAAGGCAATGACAATCCCTAATCAAGACACAGTGGAAACCAAGTGAGGTAAAGTGAGAAAAGGAAAAATCCTCTTCTGTGGTCTCCTTAATCAAGTCAGAGTAGCCAAGGGAGCAAGGTTTTAATGAGAAATAAGAAATGCACATGTTTGGCAGAGAAATCACTTGATGTTGTTTTAGTGTCATTCAAAGCAAACATGATTTAATATTAACAAAAGGCAAAAATTAACCACAGGAAAGCTGAATATTCTTACTCTGTGCTCCCCCTCCGAAAAGGATGACAAGCACAAACACTTGGTTTCCCCCAGGTTAGCATTATTAATGTAGAGCAACAGTTTTTTCAGGGAAAAGAAGCAACAGTTCAAAACCCGGTTCAGGCAAGAGTAAAAACCTATCCAGTCAGAGGCCATAGCCACAAGTACTTCATCTCCCTGGCTTCTCGCCAGGATGATAGCCACGTTCAGAAGGGGGGGAAAGGGGGGGGGGAATCGGCCCATCACCCCAGATTAAAAGGACGCATTTTGTACTAGATAAATCTACCAATTCCAAATGATCGTCTTCCTGGTGTTTTGCTTTTTGCTTTTGCAAAAGCAGCTAAAGATTTAAAGCTAAAAATTTTTGCTCCTGCAATCTAGGCAGTTTTCACTGGAGCGCTTCTCTGACTTTGTAATGCTTGGTGTGCGCTCCTTTTGGAAATATCTTCCCGAGCCCATCTCTGCACCACTGAAACAGTAGTAGTAGTAGTAGCAGTAGTAGTAGTAGTAGTAGTAGTAGTAGTAGTGACAGCAACAACGAGACAATCTGGCAATCCGTTAAATCCAGCGGTCGCATTGCTTGGATAAACGTTAGTTTTGTGATGTTCTCCGATGGAACAGGGGCGCTGGAGGCGGGGGCTCGGAGACCTATTCCCCTACAAGCGTCAAGAACGGCATCTGGACAGCCGGAGAAGTTCAAGGCTGCAGGCTGCACCGACTCTGCAGGCTGCACTGACTCGGCTGAGAGGAGCACCGTCCACTTCAAACGGGTTTAAGATGTGCGCCCGATCCTTTCAAATTCCCGATCCCACGCCACGACAGTCCTTTTTTTTTTTTTTTGATCTGTGTCCGCACTCCCCCCGCCCAAGGCTCCCGGGGCTCCCAGACCTTCTCCGTGTACGGACGCAACCCGGGGGATCCCCCCTGGATGTGCAAAGCAGGGACGGCGGGAGCCCCGGCCCATCCTCCCGGAGATGGGGTCCCGAACCGCGACGTCAAGCTTCCCGGCGATTTCCCGAGCCCCTTCCGAAGCTACCTGGGACCCCGGCGCCCCGAGGCCCTCAGCACGGCCTCGAGACTGGGGTCCCCACCCGCCGCCGCCGCGAGTCGCAGGGGGGCGCGGCCTCCGGGCAGCTGCGCGCAGCTGGACGCTGTCCTCCGCGCCCCCCGGGACCTCGACCCTTCCCGGCCAGTCCGCGCCGCCGGGGACGCGACAGCTTACCGGGGCAGCAGCGCGAGCGCCGCTCTGGAGGGGGCAGGAGCGCGCCGGGGTCCCGCGGTCCGGGGAGGCTGCAGGAGCGGCCGCCGCGTGTCCGCTGCTCGCGCTGCCGAAAGCCGGCGGGGCACGTGGGCGCCCCTCGGTGTAGCCGCGCCGGGAGGCCCCGCCCCCGCCACGCCCCGCCACGCCCCTAGCCCCGCCCCCTCGCCCGCCTCCGCCTATCCCCGCGCGGGCTCGCGTAGGCGGGCGCTCGGCCCGGGCCGCGGCTCGGGTCTCGGCGGGTGGGCGCGCGCGGGCGGTCAGTTCCCCCCGCCGGCAGGACAGCGCGGGGGTCTGGGGAGTCTCCTTCTGCCCTGCGCTGCGGGACTTCGGGGGCGGCTTGGAGAGTTTCTGAAGCCCAGTTCCTCCCCCGGGGGGGCGGGGTGCCGCGTTGACTTTTCGGGGCGAGAAGTTGGGGAAACGTGTGCGTTTGAGAACTCCAGTAGGGCAACCCGATAAAAGTCCCGGGGATCTGGGGGGGCTGGAAGGAAAATGACATTTGCTGTTTTGAAGAAAGCTAGAGGAGTTACACAACCACCAAGGTTTCTCATAGCAAACTATTGTTTACTTTGGGAGGCTCTGATAAGATTAAAGCTACAATGTCCAACATTCTTCCTTTTTATTCCAGAGGAGGCAAAAGAACACCAGCTTCGAACCGAGCGGTAACAGTGTATCATTATTTGGGCTGGACCCAAGGAGCGACCTTACGTTGTTGAATCTTCTGGTCAATAGCTCTTTATCATCTGTCGGTAATGCATTTGGGAAGAGGACAGATTATGTGTTACGTATATATTTTTTTAAATTTTTTTTTTAAAGGTAAACTTGACATGACTCAGATGTGTGTTTTCAAGAGCGTCTGACTTAAAGTGGATTTTACTCCAAAAAAAATGGTACCAGCACAAAATCTCAATCTCAGTGACTGTTTCTCTCCTTTTGTTTATTTTTTTGGGGGGGGGGGCCTCACCCGGCAGTGCTCAGGGCTTACTCCTGGCTCTGTGCTCAGGGATCACTCCTGGGGGGGTGGGGGACACTTAGAGGGGTGCCAGGCTCTAACCCTGGTCACTATAATATTGCCTCCTCCTGAAATTGTTTTCTGAGTGAAAGGCGACGGAGCAGCAATGTCCGTCCCAAGGTTAGACTGAAAAGATCTAAACCAGGAATTCCCCCTATGCTGGTGAGCAAGGTGGATAGAGCAGAGTGGTATAAAACCTCTTCCCAAGTCTACCTTTCATGCTCCCTACTTGACTAAGTCACCAGCAACATTAAAAACATACGCAGATGGGTAGGGGAGCCCTGGTAATGTACTTAAAGAGACCGGGCCGGAGAGGTTAGAGCAGCTGCTAGGGTGCTTGCAAGTTTGACCCTTAGCATCCCGTATGGTGTGATCCCTGAGTGCAGAGTCAGAAGTAACCTCTGAGCACTTCAAGCAAACAAACAAAAAAAAAACCCTTAGCTTATCAAGCCCTGAAGTAGCCAAAGGCATGAAGACCACATCCCCATGACAGAAAGACTAAACTCTTTAGAGAAGAGAAATTGAGGCACCACCCAGATAAAGGTGGACCCCACCCAAAGGTGAAGCTATAGAAGAAGCCTGAGATTATGAAAAGTGCATCAACAGTGCAAGAGATAAAAAGACTAAAAATAGTTTGAGGCATTCCTGTGACAATGCAGATTAACTTTTACATATGCAAAATTTCTGAAACTTCATTTGGAAGAAAAACTCCTCCTAAAAGCCTTTTGGAATTTACTCTTCAAGACTCACTTGTCTCTGTTTCTTTGCTGGCTTATTTCCACTCTGGAGGACCTAGTATTCTCTCTGGAACACATCCCTCTTTCTCTCTCCTCATATATTTTTAAATTACTTTCAATTAAAAACTCTCTTGCCTTACCACACAACACACACACACACACACACACACACACACACACGAGTTTACTTAAGAGGGTGGGAAATAGGAAGGGATCCCTATACAGCAGTAAAAGTATGTTGGTAATTTGGTAATGGGGTAGCAGGTAGCTATTGTAACACTGTACCCTAAAAGCATTTATTGTAAATCATTGTTAGCCCCCCAAAAATTTTAAGTGTATAATGTCTAAAATTGGGGAATCTGATGTAAATTTTTTTCATTTCAGTTTTTTTTTTAATTAAAGTTGCTTTTGTTTGTTTTGCTTTTTGGGTCACACCCGGCAATGCACAGGGGTTATTCCTGGCTCTTCACTCAGGAATTACTCCTGGTGCTCAGGGGACCATATGGGATGCTGGGAATCGAACCCGGGTCGGCTGCATGCAAGGCAAACGCCCTGCCTGCTGTGCTATCGCTCCAGCCCCTAAAGTTGCCTTTTTTTTTTAAAGAAAAAATTTTAAGGGCTTACCTTTATCTTTACCTTATACTACCACCTATTTTTATTTAAAAGACCCTGCAAGGACAATTTCTGGTTAAGTTGAAACACAATCATTTAGGATAAACGAATCTTTTGCTATTTAGAAACTGCTAATTTTGTTATAATCTTTGAATTGATCTAATCCAATTTTGGTAGTTCTTGAGATAAGAACACAATGTGCCCACTGTCTGAATAAAAAAGTTATTTCATTTCTGCAAAAATGAGCAATCCTTGTTTTGGAGGTGAGGGCCGAGGGTTGAGTGTGGGAAGGTCAGAAACTCCTAGTGCTATGAATCCAACCAAGAATTCCAGCATAGCTCTGCCCCCTGAGTCATCTACCCTATCTGAGAAAAGATGATTATCTTGTAGCAGAGTCATTGAATTAAATATTCCTTTCCTTTTAGAACTAGTTAACTGTGAATTCCTCATCACATCTTCAGTAATTTCTCGACTTTCAAACTGTATAAATAAACTCATACTGGGGCTGGAGTGATAGCACAGCAGGTAGGGTGTTTGCCTTGCACGCGGCCGACCTGGGTTCAATTCCCAGCATCCCATATGGTCTTCTGAGCACCACCAGGAGTAATTCCTGAGAGCAGAGCCAGGAGTAACCCCTGTTCATCGCTGGGTGTGACCCAAAAAGCAAACAAATAAATAAACTCATATTGAGTCTTTAAGATGGACTGGGAAACATGAAAATATTAGAATATATTTTTTAGAAATAACACCCTTGAAATGGATTCAGCATCAGCTTCATTTGCATTTCCTTCTACTCTTCTTGCAATTCAGAATGGAATTTCCATCCTCTTCCTAGTTGAGTAATGTTTTTGCCTGAGTTCTCTACCTCATCCAGTCTGAAGAACCCCACTTTTCACTTTCTTCTGTCAGACTTCCTCTTAGGAAAGAAACAGAAAATCCGACTTACAAGTAGTCTTGCTGTCTTCCAGTGGTTATAAAACAAAACACTTGTGCCTGTCTGAATTCCTAGCTTTTGTGAAATTTCGGAATTTCAAGGGACTTTTGTAGCTGAATAATGTCCACACCCTTAACACTTGCCAAGTACAACCCAAAGTGAATGTCCTGCCCATGAATAGTGGTTTTCTTTATTAAGCCTGAATGAGTTGGTTCCTATTCTAATTTCTCATTCCATTATTCTCAGGCTGTCTCATTAAAGGCAAAGGGAAATTTCCATTTTCTCCCAGATGTTGAATATTGGATACTGATGTTTATGTTATAATGAAATAGGTTTGAAAGAGAAATAGGACTGGACAGAGTTCAGGGCACTAGAGTTTCAAGAGCTTTCAGTACCCTGTTGTTCTCCACACCCCTTTCAAAAATGTGTAAAAAATTAAAGACAACTATCCATGGGCTGCTTTCCACATTTGCCCATCCCTTAAGGTAAGCAATAAAATACTGGAAGGGGGGATGGAGGAAAAAATGCCTTGTAATGAGAGATTGCTTTTCCAATCTTTTTTTTTCTGCTTGTAACTAAGATTTTGTAATGGTTTTCAGTTCTGTGCTGCTCTCCCTATGAATTTCCCTGCATCCAGTCACTCAGCCGCTTGCTGGGTTTTCTTTACATTGGCTATTAATCAAGTATTGCCCAGAACTCCACCCGTTCTGTACCAGACTGTCTCCTTCTTCCCTGAGTCTCGTATCTGTTGAAAAAATCTGCTTTCTCAGTCCAACCATATTCAGTTAGGCTGTTGTTCTGAGGGTTGCAAACGGCAGGTTTAGAAGCTAGCTCAGTTACAGGAGAAGCTTCTTTTCCTTTCAGCCTTGACAACTGTTCTAATTTGCCCTTCTAATTATGTCCTGTGGACTTTCTTCAGTTTGCATTCACCTTAAATTTTTCTTTCTTTTTCTTAAAGTTGTCTCCTCTCCCCACCCCTTCAGTTTCCACGGTTCTCTTTTCTTTCTTCCTGTCCTTCTTAGAACTTTGGTCCTGCTTGCTAAACATGAAGTCAAGGAGTAAATCATGAAGTAATGATTAAATTTTGGAACCATTCTTACCTACATTCACTTTCAGTCTTAGTTATTACTCCCTCCAACCTGATGGAATCTTTACCAGTCCTCATCTTGCATTCTTGCTCCAAGCTGTGCTGCTTGTGACACAAATTTGCCACCACCTGAAATGATAAGGTAGAAAACAAATCCATCCCTTTCTTAGACTGACATCTATCTCAAACTTCCTTCTTCCTCTTTTCCTGGTCCTCCAAGCTTAAAACCTTACCTAATACCTTTCTCCTTTTTTTCTTTCTCATTCTTTTTCTTTCCTTCTCCTTCCTTCCTTCCTTCCTTCCTCCTTCCCTCCCTCCCTCCCATCTTCGCTCCCTCTCTCCCTCCTTCCCTCCCTCCCTCCTTCCTTCCCTTCCTTCCTTCCTTCCTTCCTTCCTTCTTTCCTTCCTTCCCCCTTCCTTTCTTCCTTCCTTCCTTCCTCCCTCCCTCCCTCCCTCCCTCCCTCCCTCCCTCCCTCCTTCTTCCTTCCTTCCTCCCTCCCTCCCTCCCTCCCTCCCTCCTTCCTTCCTTCCTTCCTTCCTTCCTCCTTCCCTCCCTCCCTCCCTCCTTCCTTCCTTCCTTCCTTCCTTCCTTCCTCCCTCCCTCCCTCCCTCCCTCCCTCCTTCTTCCTTCCTTCCTCCCTCCCTCCCTCCCTCCCTCCCTCCCTTCCTTCCTTCCTTCTCTTT